TTTTTTTTTAGTGTGCTTGTTTTTCCCTGTGTTTCTTCTTGTCTTTTGGGGGGATTTACGTGAACATCTTTTAGTATTCCATTTTAATTATCTATTGTGATTTTGAATATATCATTTTGGAGAGTTTTTCAGTGGTTGTTCTGGGCATTCCATACTAATTTTTCACAGTCTGTTTAGAATCTGTTCTACCAGTTCACTTGGAATGTAGAAACCTAACTCCGTATCTGTCCTTTCCTCTTCCATACTGTATGCTATGGTTGTCTTATAAAGTACATCTGTATACATTGACTATCCCCTTAGACATGTTATAATTTTTGCTTTCGGCTGTCAAACATTTTAGAGAACTCAAGAAGAAAAGAAAAGAATTTTCTAGTTACCCAGATAATCTACTATTTCTGTTGCTTTTCCTTTGTTCCTTATGTTCACATTTCCTTCTGGTATCATTTCTGTTCTATTTGAAGAACTTTAACAATTCTTTTAACACAGGTGTGCTGGCAACGAATGATGATACCTAGTTCACCTCTCATTTCTGCAGAATATTTTCACTGGATATAAAGTTCTTTCCTTTCAGCACATTAAAATCTTCCTTCTGGCCTCTGTGATTTTGGATAAGAAATCTTTAGTCATTCAAATTGTTGTTCCCCTACAGGTGATGGGTGCTTTTTTCTCTGGCTGCTTTTGACGTTTTTCCTTTGTGTTTCGTTGTCAGCAGTTTGATTATAGTGTGTCTGATCATAAATTTCTTTGGATTGATCCCCCCTTTTTTTTTTGTGGTTCACTGACCTTGAATCATAGGTTTATATCCTTCACCAAACTTGGGGACATTTTCAGCCATTATTTCTTCACATTTTTTTTCAGCATCTCCCTTTTCTCTCCTTGTGGGATGCTGATGACATGAATGAAGACATTTTGATATTGTCTTATACTTCCCTGAGGCTCTGTTAATTTTTCTTCAATATTTTTTTCTCTTCGTGTTCAGATTAGATGACTTTTATTGATTTATCTTCAAGTTTGCTATTGTTGTCCTGTCTTTTCCATTCTGCTATTGAGCCCATCCACTAAGTTTTAAAATTTCAGTTATTGTTATTTTAATTCTAAAATTTCACTTTGGTACTTTATATCTTCTATTTCTTTGCTGAGATTTTCTGTTTTTCCATTTGTCTCAAGAATGTTTCTGGTGACTATTGGAGCATTTTTCTAATAGCTACTTGAAAGTCTTTCTCACGTGGTTGCAGCATCATGTCACCTCGGCATTGGTGTCTGTTGATTGTGTTTTCCTGTGCAAGTTGAGATTTTCCTGGTTCTTTGCATACTGAGTAGTTTTGATTGTGTCCTGGATATTATGCTGTGAGACTCTGAGTCTTGTTTAAATGTATGGAGAATACTGATATTTTTATCAACATTGCAATTTAGCAGCAATCGGCTCGGTTAGGTTCAGGTTGAAGGTTCCAGCCTGCCTTCTGTGGGACGTGGTTCCAGTGTGAGTTCCAATTTCAGAGCCTTCGCAGTGCTCTTCAGCTCTGTCCTGGGTATGTTCTAGTCTAAAATCAGTCTGGGACCTGGAAGGTGGTCTGTTAGTTTAGTTCTCAAAGTCTTTGGTATGACAACTAGGGTCAGATCCTAGCATCTGCAGCTTGGAGTTGTGCCCAGGAGTTCTTCAGTAACCTGTGGTATTATTTCCCTGAGCTCTTCAGCACTTTCCAGTTCTCTCAGGCTCCCCCTTCTGTCCTCCAGCTGGGAAACTGGGGCTTTGGTTACCCTGCTCTGCTGTGTGCTTCCATGACCACGTCCAGGGCCTCCTAGCAGGGGGACAGGGAAAGACAAGAGCAATAAACAGGGTTTGGCCCAGACTTTTGGGATCACAGCTCTATAGTTTGGAGAGGAAGCTTCTCCTCAGAGATTTGACTCTGAAGGTTCTTGTGGGCTTGGGCACAAGGGAAAGAAGAAAAACAAAACCAAAAATGAGGTTTCTGCACTGACTGTTGGATGTTCCGTTTTTGCTCCTTGAGTCAGGACTGGAGGGCTTTTCCTGGAGTTCTCTCTGTACCCTGGTGACTCCTTTGGGGTTTCAGGCTGCATGAGTTAGGCTGGAGGAAAGGTAATGGCGAGCTTACTGCTATGGGGTGCTGCTTGGAAGTCTGGTCTTCCATCTGCCTGCTCCTTTTTCTTTTCAGAGTCCTCAAGTGGCTGCTCTTTGTGTTCTGTCCGGCTTTTGCAGCTGTGTTCGGTGGGGGAATTAGGTAGTGTGTGTCTACTCCATCTTACCCATGACCAGAGCCCCTTCTCTTCATCTCTAGGAGGATGTATTACCTTCGGGCCAGGTTTCTAGGTGGGAGTGCTTCTCTGTTGGGGTCAGGGCCAGGGGCCAGGGGATATCAACAGTAGCCAGTGGGGAGACAGGTGGCTACTTGGCACTGAACCCGGTGGTAGGAATCTGGTGGGAGCCAGGTTGGGGTGATGGGTGTGGGACTTCATTCTGGGACAAGCACCAGTCTTGTCCTTGGCCAGGGAGGGCTGGGATTAACACTTCTGTACCTACCACGCCCTTAAATAGGGGGTCATTAACTGTGACTTTCAAATTTGCCTTTCTGACCTTTCCTAAGGGACATTCTTCTCTCTTCTTCATTCTCTTTTCAAACGCAGTTTATATGTTATAATCAGTGCGTAAATCCAATTTTGAGCCTGATTTTTGTGCTGCCTACAACTTGGCAGGGCTCACTTGAGGCACCTATGGCTCGGGCCCTTGGTGGCAGGCTCTTGGGTGCTCCTGGGAAGAGGGACAGGAGACGCTGGCCTTGGCCTGGGTGGGGATGGAGGGCATGTTGGGGGTGTCTCCACCTCTAAGAACCATTGTGGTGCTCGCTTTGGCAGCACATATACTAAAATTGGAACGATACAGAGAAGATTAGCATGGCCCCTGCACAAGGATGACATGCAAATTCATGAAGCGTTCCATTATTAAAATATAATATTCAAAATTTTAAAAAATTAAAAAAAATTTATATAAAAAAACCCCAAAAGAACCATTCTGATGCTGCCACCTGATGTGGCTGTGGGCTGGTGGGGACTGTGAGCAGCCTTTGGGGTTGGGGGGCTTGTCCTCGCTCATGTCCTGTCCCTCCCTCACCCCTGCAGGAGAAGGAACGCCAGCGCCTGGAGAACCTACGGCGGAAGGAGGAGGCTGAGCAGCTGCGCAGGCAGAAGGTGGAGGAGGACAAGAGGCGGCGGCTAGAGGAGGTGAAGCTGTAAGTGGCCTGGCTCCCAGCCCCAACCTGCCCCAGCCTTAGCAGGGCCCCCCATGACTACCCTGTGCCCCGCAGGAAGCGTGAAGAGCGCCTCCGCAAGGTGCTGCAGGCCCGCGAGCGGGTGGAGCAGATGAAGGAGGAGAAGAAGAAGCAGATCGAGCAGAAGTTTGCTCAGATCGATGAGAAGACTGAGAAGGTGTGAGCTTGGGCTGGGGTGGCCGAGCCTCGGGTGGGCTGGGCCCTGAGCGCGCCCAAGCAGTTCAGACTGGGTGGCCTGAGGGTTGGGACTGGACTTCTTGGAAAGTTACAGGTTCGAGGCCCTGTACCCCTCTCCTGTTTGCCCCACGGGCCCTGGAGTCCACTTGGAGCTAGGCTGAGAGTTGAAGCTCTCAGCTGTGGGTTTTCCCAGCAGCCCTTTGCGAGTGGGTGGTCTGATGTTCCTGGGCAGGACCAGCTTCTGGCATCTTTTTCCCTGGGCTGTGGGGAACAAACCAGGTGTGCAGGGCCAGGGAGTGTCTGTCACTCAATGTTCTGGGCCCCACACTGCAGGGTTGAGTGTGGGGCTGCTGCAGTGGGCGCATGTGGGTGGGCTCTGCAGGCCAAGGAGGAGCGGCTGGCAGAGGAGAAAGCTAAGAAAAAGGCAGCGGCCAAGAAGATGGAGGAGGTGGAGGCGCGCAGGAAGCAGGAGGAGGAGGCTCGCAGGCTCAGGTGGCTGCAACAGGTGCGTATACAGGAGGGCCTTGGAGAGGAGGTTGGCAGGATGGGCACTGTCTAAGCGCCATGGGGACCTGCTGGACCACTTTGTGGGGTTGTTCCTGGCAATGGTGCTGCTTCAAGCCCAGAAGGACATTTGGCAGATGCCTCCAGGAGGGAGATGGTGACTAGAACCTGCCTTCTGTAGAAGTGGCAGTTGAAGGGTTAACCACACACACACTTGGAGCCAGACTTCCATCTCAGCTGTGTTATTTTTTAGCTCTGTGACCTTGGGCTGGTTACTTGATCTCTCTGTGCTTCCATTACTTCAAGTAGCAGTGGTGCCTACATGATAGGGTTGTTGTGAGGATTAAATGTGTCGATGTATGTAAAGTGCTCAGGTAGTGCCCGGCACATGCTAAATGTTCTCTACATGACTGCTCTTACCATCCATCCCTGGAATGTTCCACCGAGCTCTTCCTGGGGACTGTCAGTCTTAACAATTCTAGGGAATGCGGATCTGTCATTAGGGCTTGCGTTATTGATAACTAAGGTTTCTTATTTACTCTGTGCTAGGCACTGTTCTATGTGTGTTATGCATATAAACTCAGCAACTCTGTGTGGTGTAGATATGACTGTTGTCCCCATTTTATGGATGAGGAAACCTTGACCAGAGGCATTAAGCGGCTTGCCCAGTGTCACACAGCTGAGTCTGGCTCCAGAGTCCCTCACCTGCTGAATCTGCTGCTGCAGCAGCAGAAGTTGTCACAAGATGCTTTTCCAGGCTGGTGGTGGTGATTCTTGCAGAGCCTTCCTTGGGGCGTCCCGCGGATCTGCCCCTGTGTTGGTCGATATGAGGCACCTGGGCTGTGGCAGGGGCAGGCCCTTTGCCCCCCAGTAGCCTCCTCCCCTGTGGGCACTGTCCTGCCTCTCTGGCCCAGGCCTGGCCACAGCGCCGACCTTGCTCTCCATCTCAGGAGGAGGAAGAGCGGCGGCACCAGGAGCTGCTGCAGAAGAAGAAGGAGGAGGAGCAAGAGCGGCTGCGGAAGGCGGCCGAGGCCAAGCGGCTGGCAGAGCAGCGTGAGCAGGAGCGGCGCGAGCAGGAGCGGCAGCTGGCAGAGCAGGAGCGCAGGCGGGAGCAGGAGCGGCTCCAGGCTGAGAGGTGAGGGGCCCGCTGGCCAGGCAGCGCCTGCCCTCTGGGTGTGGCCCTCACTTAGGTGCAGCCCCCACTTCCACTGGGGGGTTTGCAGGTGCTTTCCTTGGCTTCACATCCAGAGGCCCACAGCTGGTGGCCTACCTGGCTAGCCTGCCCATTGGCTGCAGGAGATTCAAGGAGTGATGGGCAGGCCTGCCTTGTCTTGGTTCCACCTCCAGCTGCATGTGCTGACCCCTTTGGTGTCTTTTCCTCAACTGACGGGCTGGGGGATCATAGAATGAGTTAGTATTTCTCAACAGGGCCACCATGGGCATTTTCGGGAGAAGAGATCTTTGTGGTACATTGCAGGAACTTAGCATCCTTGGCCCCTGTCCCCACTAAATAAACATACCTCCCCTGGAGGTGATGGTAACTCAGGCTGCCCCACCAGCATTTCTGACTGCCTGCCATTGGGAACTGTGGATCCAGGGACCCCTGAGGTCTTCCAGTTCTGCAGATACAGTGGTCTCTGTGCAATAGACAGGAATTCCACATGTAGTTTTACAGGCATTTATCCAGGGCCCACCCTGCATCTGGCTCTGCTGAGTCCCGGGGACACCAAGGGGGACAAGCCACACTCACTGTTGGCCAGGAGATAGGTATGGGACCCCGTGCCTGTGAGTGTGGACGTAGAGAACTGTGCCGGCATGTGTGTGCAGACACGCAGGCCCGGCAGCTGTCCCCTCTCGTACCTGCACCTCCTGGAAAACACCAGGCAGCACTTTTTTCTGTGTCCATCTTTGGGTGGCTGCAGGCTTATTGGACAAGTGAGGAGTCACAGCCAGAGGGCTGGACTGCATCAGGGCCATCTGATTGACACAAAGTTTTCTGGTCCTTTGGCAGAGTCAGACGTAGAAGTCTGGGAAGGGAAGAAAGTGCGGGGGGCAGTTAACGTGTGTGGTTTAGAGTTGCATGGTGCCAGCGGGCCTGAGGACTTTGAGGGTGATGGTGTGATAGTCATAATGTTGGCAGCTTTACACACATTTCTTTATTGAATCCTCACTTGAAGCCCACTGTGGTGTGGGACCATCAGCTCCACTTCACAGACAGGGAAATAGAGAGGTTCAGTGACTGTCGAGGGTCATGAACGAGTGCATAGTGGAGGTGATTCCAAAGCCCATCAGCAGCCCCTCCCTTGCTTCATGCTTGGAGCCAGGGGTCTGTCCTGCAGGTCAGGATGAATAGAAGCAGCATGCACAGGTGGGGAACCTGCAGCCTTGGGGCCACACGTGGCCTTCTGGATCCTTGAGTGCAGCCTTTTGACTGAATCCAGATTTTACAGAACAAATCCTTTTAATACATTTGGATCATCCCATTTGATTCTTGTGATGACCCTGGAGGAAACGTGTTACAATCTCCATTGTGTAAAAGTGAAGTGAGGCTTAGAGACTTAAGTTGCGAGGAAGAGAGTGGGGGCCAAATCTTGGTAGACTGCAAAGGTCGCCCTCCCTGCACCCTCGGTGTGCACACGCCTGGCCTTTGGGGCAGAAGTGCAGCATTGGCTCTAAGCTGGGTGCCCATTATGCCATCCCCCCATCTAGGGCTTGTCCTGCTGTGACTGGCTTCCCTAGCAGGGATGGAATGGGGCTTGGGGCTCTGCTTACTGCCCTGATGGGCTCTTGCTTGGTCCTCAGGGAGCTGCAGGAGAGGGAGAAGGCCCTGCGGCTGCAGAAGGAGCGGCTGCAGAGGGAACTGGAGGAGAAGAAGAGGAAGGTGAGGCGAGCTCTAGGAGTGGCGGCTCCCGTGGAGTCTGTGCTGTAGGCTGGTGTGGGCTCCTGCTGCAGAGGCTGCGTGGGGAGGGCAGGACAGGGCACGGCTCCCCAACACCCTGTTGCTGCCTGGGTTCTAGGAAGAACAGCAGCGTCTGGCTGAGCAGCGGCTGCAAGAGGAGCAAGAGAAGAAAGCCAAGGAGGTGGCAGGGGCCAGCAAAGGCCTGAACATGACTGTGGACGTGCAGGTGCGTCCTTGGGCGCTGGTGGAGGCCCCCAGGGAAGAAAGACCCCCACTCTGATCACTTTCTTTCCAATAGCCTGAGGCACAGACCTCATATATTAGGAAACCAAGGAAGAGGATGGTTACACTTGGCCCAGTTGTTTTTACTATTTTTAATATGTATATTCTTCCTTATTCTAAAAGTAGATTTCGTTTAAAAAAAGAAAGTGAACTTTATGTGAGTATAAAGTTAAAAAAAAAACACAAGGAGGGACCCTCAGGAAAACCAAGCTGGTGTGTGTGCTTCTAGATTTTTACATTTTGTACAGAGACATACACACAGATTCTCACTCTCTCTCTCGAATACTCATACACATACATATTTTTAAATAGGCACATACAATTTGGCAGTTTGATTTTTTTCCCTTTTTTCCCCATTTACTGTATTGTAGACATCTATTTCCACATACGTAAATCTCTTATTTTCGGTGGCTGTGTACCAGACAGTTGTGCTGGCATTTAGCCAGCTCCTGTTGATATGCATTTAATCTATTTTCAGTTCAGTGCTGTTACCAAACAAAAGACATTTTCATTCCAGCATAGTTAAGATGTTGAAAACTTGGGAGTTAGTAATGTCCATCCACAAGGGATGGTTACTTTGCAAATCCTATAGTCCGCTGGAGCTGTTCCCAGGAGGTGAATTGGAAAAAAAGTCTGGAAAAAAGTCTGCAGTATATTAGACCTTAACATGAAAAAGGAAGATGCAGAGTCCTGTATGTCCTATGACTTTTTAAAATGAAAAAGTGACCGCTGAACCTTTTTGAATTTCCGGTGAGATGGGGGGAGGTGACTGGCACCCCTCGGAGGTGAGATGCAGGAATGCAGTGGAGGGTTATTTTTTCCAGTCTCCAGATTGTACCTCCTATCAAATGACTCCACAAGGGCCCAAGAGACCCCCCAAGATCAATCCGGATGACTATGGGATGGATCTGAACAGCGATGACTCCACTGATGACGAGGCCCAGCCCCGGAAGCCCATCCCCACCTGGGCTAGAGGTGAGCAGGGCCCAGGCTCCCCAGGACACTTGGTGCCCTCCTCCTGTCCTCACCTTCCAGGGTCCTGGAAGTAAGGGTGGGTCGCTTCAGGTGTTGGGAGGCTGTTGTGCCCGTGGGCTGGTGGCTTGAGACATTGGCCTTGGGCCTGTGCCCGAGGGAGGGTGGAGCACCCTAAGGCCGATGGGCTTAGAGTCCCACCCAGCAGGGCCAAAGAGACTTGGACCGAAATAAGCAACCCAGGGCAGGAGTAGAGCTGAGAGTGGTGACAGGGTTTAGGGAGAGTGCTTAGAGCTGGAGCCGGGGCTTCCAGCCAGCTGGGGACGGCAGAACAGGCCCTGAGGAGGGGCGTGGGCACTGGAGCAGGATTTGACCGGAGTTTACAGGCCCCAGCATTTAGACAGGAGTGTGGGTGAGTGTGACTGTGCTGCCTCAGGTCAGGGCGCCAGGCCTGCCAGAGTGACGGGGGCCAGTAGGGACAATGGGTGCTTTGCAGTGTTTGCTGGGGTGGGGGCCAGGGTGGGGTGCAGACTCCCTGGAGGGAAGGGCTTAGAATCCCGGAGCAGGTCAGTGCTCTCCAGAAAACAACCTGCTTTCATGAGTCTCACTTCATTTGAACCCTGAAGTAACTGGAATCTGCCTTAGTCTCCTTAACTACTAGTTTGAAGTCACATGGGAGGTGGCAGCAAGCAGGGGCTGCAAAGCCACCTAACTGTAGTTGACTGAAGATGGCTTAAACAGTTCCTTCATCTGTGCGATGGTGGTGATGAGAAGACCCAGCTGAGAAGGTTTATCAAGAGTGCCGTGAGCCCTTAGAGTAGCACCTGGAGCCGAGCAGGGGCTGGGGGTATCTTTCCCTGATCACCCAGGGTCTCCTTCAACCTTGTTGCTGTGGCTGTATCCTCCCACATCCTCGGCCCAGGGGCCCCCTCGGCCTGCATCTTGCGCCTTGGGGCCTGTGGGCTTGATGAGAAGCAGCTGACCAAGGTGGTTGAGGGTGGTCACGTGCTTAAGCTCTGGAGTTGGACTTGTCTCCAAACCTGGGCTCTGCCATTATTAGCTGTATGCCTTTGGGCACATCTCCCCTTCTGTGCAATGGGGAGAATAAGTACCTGCCTCCCAGGTGGTGAGGGGGACAGTGAGCTCACATAGTCTAGGGTTCAGCGTGTGCCTGGCCCACACGAACTCTTGAGGACTTTGTGCAAGTTAAGCTGCTGGCAAAGGCAGTGAGAAGGTAGAGCAAGAGTGATCTCAGTGTTTGCTGGTGCAGGCAGGAGGGGGGCCCTGAAAGAGACATGGTGGGCTGAAGAGGGTGACAGGATGGGGTGGTTCATGGAGCGCCCCAAGGCAGTGACTAGCTTCGTGTTCCCCCGCAGGCACCCTGCTTAGCCAGGCCATAATCCACCAGTACTACCACCCACCGAACCTTCTGGAGCTCTTTGGAATCATTCTCCCACTGGACTTGGAGGACATCTTCAAGAAGAGCAAGCCCCGCTACCACAAGCGCACCAGCTCCGCAGTCTGGAACTCACCACCGCTGCACGGCACCAGAGTCCCCGGCAGCCTGGCCTATAGCCTAAAGAAGTACTGAGGCAGGCCCATGGCCTTGCCAGCGGTCTCAACTCCTATTTGTGTCTGTCCATTTCTGTGTTGGTCTGGTGCCCTCCTCCTGGTACGCCATGGCGGGGGGCTTAGTCAGGTGTATATACATGTCCTCTGTGTGCCGGTGTTTCTGCTGCAGGTGGCAGGTGGCCCTGGGCCTGTTTGGAAGATGGGCTTGGTGGGTGGTTGGGGAAGAACGAGGCCCAGCTCACCTGGCCTGCAGACAGCACTCTGTAAATAGACTGTTATAATTCCAGCTGCATTTTAGCATTTTAATCTCTGGTGTTTGAGAGCTAGATTAATAAAGTATATTCCTTTAAGCCTGCTGTTAATATTACTAAGACGGAGGCCTCAGCATGGTACCCTGGCCCCTGGCCCTGCAGCCATGTGTCTTGGGCCACCAGAAGGGCTGGAGGACCAAGGCACTGTTCTGTCACCTGCGGTATACATCAGAGTCACCTGGTGTGGGGGTCCCACCGCCAGAGGTGCTGCCACAGGGGATGGTTCTACTGCCTGGACAACCCCTGAGGAATACTTCAGTTACTTTGATGATGGGGCAGATGAAGCTGCTTCCTGTTTTTCTGGGGCGCTCCCTGTTTGTAAAGAGGAGCTTTTTCACTGGGGAAAACCTGGGTCTTGACAGCTCTGCCACTTAGGCCCCCAGCCTCTGCACTCCTCAGGCTCCACCCTGGCTGCATGGGTGGCGAATGGACTTGAGAAAGTCTAGTGCTGCTGAAGTACGACATCTGAGTAGAAAAGGGATGTCCCTTGAAACCAGCCTGTGACCAGTGCTTGCAAGCAGTGAGATATTTCCCCCAACAAAATCTGGCACCACTCATTGAATGCTCAGCACCCATGAAAGCTGGCCCTGGGCCTGCCTGCAAGCTGCCTGGTGCCTTCTGAATGCCCACCAGCCACTGCTCTAGCCCTCAGACAGGGGCCTGTGGGCCAAATCACACCCAGTTTTTAAAAGTTTTATCGGTACACACCCAATGGAAAGGCCCGTTCATTTACCTGCTGTCTCCAGTCGCTCTGCTCTGAGGGCAGAGTTAAATCTTGCAGCAGAGGCCTATGTCCTGCAAAGCTGAAAACATTTACTGTCTGAACCTTTACAGAAAAAGTTCACTGGCTTCTGCTTTAGGATCAAATAAAGGTTAAATGCAAGGGTGCTTTAAAAAATGAGGAAACGGTGGCCACACACAGTAGACTGAAGTCTAGAAGAGTCAACCCATGCAAAGAAAAATGTGGTTCATTCAAATATGGTGCACAATCCAAATTTTTTCCTGTATATTTTCTTTTTTCTTTTTTTTTTTTTTTTTTGAGACAGAGTCTCACTGTGTTGCCCAGGCTAGAGTGCCGTGGCGTCAGCCTAGCTCACAGCAACCTCAAACTCCTGGGCTCAAGCGATCCTCCTACCTCAGCCTCCCAAGTAGCTGGGACTACAGGCATGTGCCACCATGCCCGGCTAATTTTTTCTATATATTTTTAGTTGTCTGATTAATTTCTTTCTATTTTTAGTAGAGAAGGGGTCTCGCTCTTGCTTAGGCTGGTTTCGAACTCCTGAGCTCAAACAATCCGCCCGCCTCGGCCTCCCAGAAAGCTAGGATTACAGGCGTGAGCCACCGCGCCCGGCCTCCGGTATATTTTGTGACTAGAAACTTGTATTGAGTAAACTGGCAAGTGTGCCTAAAACCACAATACCAAAATATCACTTCTTGCAAGCATATCTATATAGTGTGTTTAAGCAAAAGTTGTTACTCAGCAGAAGGTGATTGCAGTTGCTCTGCCTCCTCTCCAGACTCGCGTTTGCCTAATGGCTGATGACAGTGAACATCTTGTCATGTGCTTTTTTGCCATCTGTATGTCTTCTTTGGAGAAGAATCTATTCAAATCTTTCGTTCTTTTTTTTTTCAGTTTCCATAAACAGCATTGATTGTTCATTTGTAATTTAGGTTGTTTTATTACTGTTGAGTTTAAGAATCTTTATATATTATGCATGCAAGTCTGTTGTCAGATATGTGCTTTGCAGTATTTTCTCCCAGTCTGCAGCTTTTCATTTACTTAACTGTCTTTTCACAGAGCAAAAATTTTAATTTGGCAAAGTCCAGTTTATCAGCTTTCTTTTTCCTTTTATGGAGTATGCTTTTTTGGTGTCATGTCTAAGAAAGCTTTGTCTAGTCCCAAGTTCTTAAGATTTTCTCCTATGTTTTCTTCTAAATATTGTATTGTTTTACAGGTTACATTTAGATTTATGGTTTTTTTCTTTTCCTTGGTCAGTTTGTATAGATTTATGATCTATTTTGAGTGAACTTTTTAAAAAGTATGAGGTTTATGTTTTTTATTTGTGTTTGGAGACATAGGGTTGGCTGTCTAATTGTTCCAGCCTCATTTGTTGAAAAAGCTATCCTTTCCCTACTGAATTTATTTTGCATCTTTATCAGGAATCAGCCTCCTTGGTACGAGCCTATTTCTTAACTTCTTATTCTCTTCTGTTGATCTGTGTGTTTCTCCTTTTTGCCAATACCATATGTCAAGATTTCTGTAGCTTTGTAATAAGTGTTAAAAATCTGATAGTGTAATTCTTCCAACTTTATTTTTCCTTTTAAAATTATTTTGACTTTTAAGGCTGGGCACAGTGGCTCACACCTGCAATCCTAGCACTCTGGGAGGCCAAGGTAGGAGTTCGAGACCAGCCTGAGCAAGAGCTAGACCCTGTCTCTACTAAAAATAGAATCAAATTAGCCAGGCGTGGTGGTACGCGCTTATAGTCCCAGCTACTCAGGAGGCTGAGGCAAGAGAATCGCTTGAGCCCAGGAGTTTGAGGTTACTGTGGGCTAGGCTGATGTCACAGCACTCTAGCTTGGGCAATAAGAGTAAGACTATGTCTCAAAAAAATAATAAAATTATTTTGACTTTTATCAATTTTACCTTGCCATATAAATTTTAGAATCAACTTATCTATGTAAAAGTCCTGCTGGGATTTTGATTAGAATTGCATTAAATCTATAGACAAGTTTGGGGAGAATTCACATATGTATAATAGTCTTTTAATCCATGAACATGACATGTCTCTTCATTTATTTACAACTTTCTGTCTTTAGCATTTTGTAGTTTCAGCATACAGATCCTGTACATATTTTGTTAGATTTATAATTATTTATTTTCTTGGAACTATTGTAAATGGTATTGGTTTTCTGATTTGGATTTGTACTTGTTCATTGCTGGTATATAGAAATACAGTTGATTTTGTGTGTTGACCTGGTATCTTGTGATACAACTAAAGTAGTACTCAGAGGGAAATTTATAGCCCCAAAGCCTATGTTAGGACAAAAGGTTTCAAATCAACGACCTCAGCTTCTGCTTGCAGAAACTAGAAGAGCAAATTAAAAGTGTATGCAGAAGGAAAATAATAAAGGCAGTGCAGAAATCAATGACATTGGCAAGAGAAAAATCATAGAGAAATTAATTAAACAAAAAGCTGGTCTTTTGAGAAGCTCAGGAAAATTCTCTACCTCTATCTAGACTGATCAGAAGAAAGAGATAACACACAGATTACCAATGTCAGGAATGGAAGAGGCGGCATCAGTACACATTCTACAGATATTGAAACAATAGTAAGAGACTTACAAACAACTTATGACAATGCCTTTGACAATTTGGATGAAATGAATGCAAGTTCCTTAGAAAATACAGATGATCTCAGTTCACTCAAGAAGAAATAGAAAACCTAAAATAGAACCCTAAAACCCTAATAGAAAACCTGATCTATGAAGGAAATTGAATTTGTAGTTAAAAATCTCACAAAGAAAACTAGGCATAGATGGCTTTAGTTGTAAATATTACCACATAGTTAAGGAAGAAATAGTACCAATTCTGCATGATCTCTCCCAGAAAATGGATGAGGGAAGAATACTTCTTAATTCCATCCATGGGGCCAGCATTGCTCTAATCGCCAAATCAGACAAAGACATTGCTAGAAAAGTAAATAATTATCCTTAATGAACATCAACACAAGAATTCTTAAAGTTTTAGCAAATCAAATCCAACAAATTATTCTTATATATAAAGGATAATACACCTTGACCAAATGGGGTTTATTTAAGGTAGGTTTAACATTTGAAAATTAATCAGTGTAATTCACCATATTAATATAGAATCATATGGTTATATGATTAAATTAATAGATATAGAAATTCAACAATCAGACAATTCAAAACTAATAATTCATGACAAAAGCTTTAAGTAAATTAAGATTTAAAGGGAATTTCCTCAGTTTGATAAAGCGCTTGTACAAAAAATCTCCAGCAAACACTTCATGTTGATTGTCTTCCATTCCTCCTACAACCAGGTCCAGTGCAAGGGTGCTCACTCACATCACTTCTGAACATTTTACTGGAGGTTCTAGCCAGTGCTAAACAGGCAAAAAGAAAAATAAAAGGCATTGGAAAGGAAGAATTAAACTATTCAGAGATGACTTGTAGAAAATCTGATAGTATCTACCAAAAAACTATTAGGATTAACAATAAATCAATTTAGCATATGATTAATGTACAAAAATCTGTATTTCTACATACTAGCCATGTGCAATCAAAAGTTGAAATTTAAAGAATTTATAATAATGTCCAAGATTATCAAAATCTAATGAATAAGTTTAAGAAAAGATCTGAGAGACCTGTATAGTGTGGTGAAAACCATAAAACATGGCTGGGAGAAATTAATGAAGACTTAAATGGGATGTATACTGTGTTCTTGGATCAGAAACTCAGTATGCTTAAGATGTCAACTTCCCCAAAAAAGATCGAACCCAATTGTAATCAATTTCAAATAGGCTTTTTGGGTAGAAGTTTATGACAAATTTGGTTTTAAAATTTATGTGTAACTGCAAAGGACCTACAATAGCCAAAGCAACTTTGAAAAATAACAAATTTGTAGAAGTCACATTACATGACTTTGACTTATTACAAAGCTACAGTAATCAGGATAGTATGG